AATAGTATCTTTAGTACTGAAAAGCAGTAGCCTTCCACAAAAACAAGGTGAAACCAAACTCCTTCATTTCTGATCTATACATATCTGGAAGGTTTTCTATAGTATTTTGAAACTGGTGACTTTCCTTTTTAATTTTAATTTTTATTTTTTTGGTCTTTTTGAGACATGGTCTCCTTGTAGCCACAGCTGACCTGTAGGTGCTGGGAACAGAATCTGAGTCCTCTGCAAGAGCAGTCAGTACTCTTAAGCACTGAACCATCTCTCCAGACATATTTTATTTTTAAAAAGATGTATATTTTTTTCCTATTGTGGTGGCACATACCTTTAATTCCAGCACTTGGGAGGCAGAGGAGGCGGAGGCATGTGGCTCCCTGTGAGAATGAGGGATCTCATTCTACATGTTGAGTTCCATGCCAGTTGGGGCTACAGGGAGACACTATCTCAAAATTTTAAAAAATATTTATTTTTATTTTATGTGTATCAGTGTTTTGTCTGCACATATAAGTGCACCCATGTATGCAGGTGCCCTGGGAAGCCAGAAGAGGGTGTCAGATTCCATGGCACTGGAGTTATAGATGTTGTTAGCAGACATGTGGGAGCTGGGAACTGAACCAGGATCCTTTGGAAGAATAGTAAGTGCTCTTACCTGCTGAACCATAATATGCCCACTAATTTTTGTTTTTAATTTAAATAAGATTATTATAATAATTTTTAATAAACACACACTTTACAGCTTGCCACAGGCCCTGTCAGTCTTTATTGTTCTAAACTAGACTACGGAACTCACAGAGATCCACCTGCGTGTGCCTCCCTGAGTGCTAGGATTAAAGGTGTGTGCCACCACGCCCTGCTAAAAATTTTTTTAAAAAATATTTATTTTTATTTCATGGGTGTGTATTGTTCACATGTAGGTAGGTGAACCCATGTCATGCAATGCCCTCAGATGTCAGAAGAGGGTGTCGGATCCCCTGGAACTGGAGGTACAGACAGTTGTTAGCTGCCCTGTGGGTGCTGGGAATTGAACCCGGTCCTTAGGAAGAGCAGTCAGTGCTCTTAACCACTGAGCCCTCTCTACAGACCCATTTTTAAAACAATCACATATATGTGTGACTGTATGTAGGTATATGCATGTGTGCAGGTGCCACAAAGGTCAGGCGATCCCTTGGGGCTGGAGTTACAGGCAGTTGTGAGTCACCTTATGTAGGTGCTGGGAACCAAATTTAGGATTCTCTGAAAGAGCAGATAGTGCTCTCAAGCACTGACTAAGCCATCTCTCCAGCTCTGAGGATATTCCTTTTAAGGAATGTGAAGCAAATATTCTTTCACTGAACTACATTCCAACTTCCCCATTTTATCATCTGAATTTAAATCCTTGAAATGCAAGCCAGTACTGTGGGTGGTACGTGCCCAACGCCCAACGCCCAGGAGACCGATGTAGGAGGATCAGAATTCCAAGGTCATTCATTCTCAGCTACATAAGCATTCTAGAGGCCAAGAAACCAATCTCAAAGAGCGTCTCTTCCCTGTTGGTGTGATTCAAATACACTATGGTAGAGCGCCCTCTTGTGGTGCATTGTTGCAAAGTCAGGCAGTTAGAAAAATCTTCAGCTCTGAGAGTGCTGGACGTTTTAGAATTCATTTTGACAAATCAAAGCCATCTTTGTATCAGTGAAGCTGATAACAGGCATTCAGGTCAAAGGGGAATCATCTGGAAGAGCAGATTAGAGGATTCAGTAAGGAATCCAGAGGCAGCTAAGGATGTGGCTTGCGCTGGCCCCGCAGGGCTGCTTTGTACTGAATATTCCGATCCTTAGAGAATTTCAAAGATGTTTGACCAAGCTCCAGAGGGCTGGCAAGATGGCATTAGCAAGTAAAGACATGCTAGCCAACAAACCCAACATCAGAGTTCAACCTCCTACCCCCATATGGGGGAAGGCGAGAACTAAGTCCTGAAAGTTGTATTCTGATCTACACACCTACACCAGGTACATGCACACAAGGAGCACACACACACACACAAACACACCCACAAATAACGTCTCCAGGACAGCATTTACTCTGACTCACCCAACCAATAGGCCACAGGAACCAAGGACACAGAAGTGTGCCAAGACTTCCCTCTCCTGGAACTCCATTGTTGTGAAGACTGGAAGTTAAAGGGACAAACATGTCAAGTGCTGGAAAATGCCAGAAAAATAAGCGGGGTTCAAGGTCAGGGTATGCACTGAGGGAGCCGTTCCACACAAGTCAATCAAAAGCGGTCCCATAAAGCCATGCTGGTGCAGGGATCTAATAGTGACCAGAAGGCAGATATTGTCTATCAGGAATATTCTATGCAGGAGGATATCCTGTGCAAATCCCTGAGGTAGGAGCATGCCAAGGATGTTTGAGGAACAAGAAGTTAGCTAGTAGGATAAAAGCGCAGCGAGTGGGAGATTGACAGGTGAGGAGCTGGATCAGAGCACAGGAGGCCTTGGAAGCACTAGACCATTAAATCCCTAGAGGGTCTGGAGCAGCAGTGTGCTAAGGCTTGTTCAAAAGGGGGGTAATTCTGGTTGGCGTGTGAGGACCATAGCAGACTGCCCCAGATGCTGTTAAAACAGTTAAAGGTGTTTGTGTGGTCAAAGGTCAAGATAAGCCAGGCGTGGTGGCACATGCATTTACTCCCAGCCCCAACACTGAGGAGGCAGAGGCAGGTGAATCTGTGAGATTGAGGCCAGCCTCTACATAGTGAGTTCCAGGCCAGCTGGGGCCATAGGGAAACCCTCAAAACAAGTAACAGGATTATTAAACCTTTTAGTGCTCTTGAAGTCTATAAATGCCAAGTTAACATTTTCTGGTTTTGTGTGTATGTATGTGGGGGGTGAGGGGCAGAGGTTGACATTAGGTCCACAGTGAATCTCGAATTCTCCAGTTCTGCTAGGCTGGATGGCCAACGAGCTTTCGGGATCCATCCACCTGCCCCCACAAGCTGCACCAGTTTTTTTTTTTTTTTTTTTGGTCTTTTGGAGACATGGTCTCCCTGTAGCCCCAGCTGTACTGGAACTCACTATGTGGACCAAGCTGACCTTGACCTCACAGAGATCCGACTGCCTTTGCCTCCCGAGTGCTGGGATTAAAGGCATGCGCCACCATGCCCGGCCCCAGAATTTTTATATGTATGGCGGAGGATCCTCCATACATATGTTTGCCTGGCAGGTACTTTACCAAGCCATCTCCCTCCTCAGCCCTTGGTTTTGTTTTTGAGACAGGATCTCATGATGTAGACCAGGCTGGCCTCAATCCCATAGTGATCTGCCTGCCTCTGCTGGAATTAAAGAGACATGCCACTGTAACTGGCCCTTGTTTTGCTTTTTGAGGCTGACCTCAAATTCACTATGTAGCTGAGAATAACCTTTAACTACTGGTGTCCCTGCCTCCATCTTCCATGGCACCACTATACCTGGCTTCTGCAAGCTAACTTACGTACTTATTTAGGGGGTTAAAATACAAGCAAATGCCCTTTCTTTGTGTTTTGAGACAGGATCTCCTCGTAGCCCCCGCTGGCCTGGAATTTGATATATAGACCAGGCTGGCCTTGAGCTCAGAGATCTGCCTGCCTCTGCCTCCCAAGTGCTAGGATTAAAGGCTCATGCCACCACACCTGGCTCTGCAAATACCTCTTAAGTGACAAGTCATCTTGATATATACATTTGAATGTTAAACTTCATCTGTCACTCCCTCAAAAAAAAAATACTGTCTGAAGTATACTAAGCAGGGTCTTTTAAGCTTATTATTTATGTATTATATTCGTGATATCCACATGTCACCTATTCTATTGTTTTTCTTTGACTCACTTCCCCACCCCCATGACCTGGTTAGTGGACACAATATTTTTTTTTTTAAGTTCTTCAGGTTGAACCCAGGGCTTTGCACATGCTAAGCAAATACCCTATCATAGAGCTACATGCCGAGCCCATAATACATACAAGGAACTTAAAACTGTTTATCATGCTTGGCATGGTGACACCTTTAATCCCAGCCCTCGGGAGGCAGAGGCAGGTGGATCTCTTCGAGACTGAGGTAGACCTGGTCCACACAGTGACTTCCAGGTGGGCTGGGACTAGGGAGACTCTTTCAAAGAACAAACAACAAAAAACCCAAAACTGTTTATGTGTCATTCCAAACCTCAGAGTACCACTAGTAGTTGTATTTGCCAGGCCAATAACAATTTACATTACTAGAAATAATGCGGTAAAACAAAAAGATACTCCTCTGAGTGGGGAGCTAGCTGAAGGGGGAGACACTTGGTTTCTACCAAGAGTCTCTCCACATGTATGTATTCACTAAATAGGAAATGCTTAAATTAGAAAAACTGAATAGAAATTCGGTCACACTAAATCATACTGAGTACTCTGCTTGGTAAAATAGTAGATACAAAGTAACTACTCAAAACTTTCCTCCATTTTCTGCCTCTTCCCTAATGATGTTACACTTCAGTCACATACTCAGGTGGCTTAAAACAGACATTCACTGGAACAAAGTTGGAGGGAAAAAAGACTGCTACTCACTGCAAAATGAAAACTTTCAATGTTTTATTTTTGACTGCAGCTGTTTACAGAAATATAATTGCGAGTATACAAATGTTCCAATAGAAGCAAAATATCCTTTTAATATTTAACAAGTTATCACAGATAGCTAAAAACACAGATGCAAATGAAATCCCCCGGAGAGCAAACTGAAAACATTCTGCTGTCAGTGCTCTGAAATCCCGACTACAAAGCCATGTTCACAAAACGGAACTCTTACATCATTGCAGGACAATGGAAGAAGGCAGTTCAGCGGTTGGTCAGTGTGCTCAAGCAAGTAAAATTAAATCAAAACTTTAAATGGCAGAATGGTAGCTAAATCACGTGAGAACAGGTTAATGAAATATTTGAAGTTACTTAAAAAAACATGAAGTAAGAGACTCAGTAAAGTTGCCCAAAAAGTAGAACCACTTGGAGCTTATCATTAGAAGGAACAAGGTGAGCAGATACATTCATTAGATCAAAAGAAATTAGCTCAATTTCATTGCAAGAGGTCTCTACCAAGCAAAGTCACAATCATTTCAGTGCAGGACAGTTCCTTTTTTTGGTACTGGGGATTGAACCTACCTAGGGCCTTGTGCAGCATGCTAGGCAAGGGCCCTACCACTGAGCTATCACTCTAGCCAGGATAGTTCGGGAAGTCTGATTCCAAACCTACTCTCAGACATATGGGATCCTGCGTGTGAGTGTATGTTGTCCTGAGGTTCATTAGCTAAAATGACAACACTAGGCAATCTCTACAAACCAGGCAGATTTTACTTCCGGGGTGGGTTCAGGGGGTTGGGGAGTAGGGGTAAGTGTAAGCAGGAAAGGGTGACATAGTTAGATACAGGATTTTTAAAGGAGGTGTTCCAAATTGGGGTTGAATTGTGGCAGGGTGCTCCGGGTACAGGATATATGATGCAATCAAATGGGGAACGGGATGGGGAAGGAGGAAAAGAACTTGAGCATTGCCAATAATGTGCCTACTTACTTGCCAGCACCAAGTTTGCAGAGTAAGCCACTTCCACTGCTAGAGGTAAGGAAACCAGCAGTGATTTTCAGGAAGCAAGCATTCATTGATTTTTATTCTGAAAAGTGAATTTTTTCCTCTCATGAGTTAACTAATTAGTGATTTGTAAACAGTGGAAGGAAGAATAGAATCGTTATGGAAGTGCTGAATATATAAGGAAATAAAAACGAACAAACCTACTTTATATTTATTATGATGCACGTACACCAAAAAGGGAGAAGTACCCAAGTTATAAAATGCACTGCCTTATTTAGTATGTTGTTAAATAACTTAATCTGAAGCATAAGTTCCAAGGCCGGCTATCTCTCTACTGTAACATTCTTATGGCACGCAAGCTACTTTTAAAGAATTCTTATATAGTAAAAGAAGAAATTAAATAAGGTGCTATGTTGGCCTGACCAGCTATCTTATTTGCTATCTCAGATACACAGATTGATAAGGAATGATTAATTCTGTTTGCAGAGCTGGTCTAGCCAGAGCAAAATTATGGTCTGCTGGTAAATGAAGAGGCAATGAAGAGAAAGCTTGTATTACACTGCCCACAATGTACTTGTGTTATGGATAAACAGGAGACTGTAGCACCCATCAATTATATTAGCTACTTAAATGTCACAACAATTAAAGAATAGAACATTGCACCTATATATTTAAATCATTTAATGTAAACTTTTTAGTCAGTGGTAGGAAAATGCCAGGCTAAGTTAACTGAATTACTGAGAGCTACACTAACTGTATATACAAACATACGCATTTCTTAGGCAGTACTGAGAAGAAATTATCGTTATCAACAATGAATGATTACAGATAACCGGGTAAGGCTGACTTTATGTAACGAATAAGGAGTAAGTGGGAAAAGAAACTTTCTGGCTCTCACTAGATACAGTTTATACCTGTGGCTCTCAAACTTCAGACTCACCTGGGGGACTTAGTAAAAAGATTGCTGGGCCCCTCTCCAGAGTTTGTGATTCAGCCTGTCTGGGCTAATGCCCAAGAATGTGCGTCTCTAACTAGTTTCCTGCTTACACTGATGCTAGCTGGTGGGCGGAGAACCATAGTTGGAGGATCACTGGTTTACATAAACCACAAGGGTTGAAACAATGTACTACAGCATTCTTATATACGTGACACAAAATACACAGGAAGGGGGTTGGTTCTAATTAACTCTCCAATACACCAATTAGTAAGTCAAACATTTTAATGTTTCTAAAATGATTTGCTAAAGTATACTCATTTCCCCTGTAGTGAACTACAGTTCAAAGTCTGGAATCCTTTAGAAAACAGCAACTTAACACTTGCACCAAGTCATTTTAGAAAGCAGCCACTAACAGTTATACCAAGACAGCTATCCAAAATCAAAGTAGATATAGTATTCTGAAGAGTTAAGCTATATCATTAAGGAACCATGACTAGATAGTAATCTTGGTGTCTTTGGAATGATTAAAGTGCATAATAGGGTATTAAGAATATTGCATAAATGTTTGCTGTCTTCAGTGCCACTAACAGTCACAAAAATACCTGCATGGGGGAACGCAGCTATACCCCAAAGTTAAGTTACCACTGTCCTTGATCTGTGGCTGATGGCCCTGTCTTCAAGCACCACCTTTTGGTTAAGGAGCTAGATCAGAAACAAATGGACAAAACTGGACACTCAATCCAACTGCATTTGGTACTAAGAAATTACCTTAGTCTCCTAAGGACTCAAAATAACTTCTTTTTTTTTTTTTTTTTGGACACTAAGTTTTCCTAAGCCAATCAACTAAGGTTCTGACAGAGAAGAAATATACCTATTACCAACTACTTTGCCCCACTTAGGAAAACCAACATTACCAGGTATTAGAGAACCAATGTTTCATCCAGCTAATTAAGATGAGAAAAGATGCTGTAAATAGCCCCTCCATGAAATTTAACACACTTTTGTGTGCAAGGAGTAACACACAACAAAATTTCCATTAGTATTCAGGTCAGACCCATCAGTAGCTGTTTGGAGAAAAGTATAGTTGATCTATATAAGCCTGAACAGTATAAACTTACTCTTCCCAAAGAATTCTGGCAAAACACTTACTCTGTTGTTTTTAAGTCAAAGTAACTGATAAAGTTGTCTTCTACAGTGACCAAGAAACGGAGACGAGGATGATGAAATAGAAAAAGTACAAGTTGGGACCTGTTAAAACCAGTTGCTAAAATGTGTTTGGCAATAGTGAAAGGTGGACATAAGATGGGGGCACTGTCATGGTAAAAAAGGCACTTTTCCATAAATGCTTAATCTACATATAAAATATTAATGTAGAAAATTGCCTGAAAGAGTAAGTACAGTAAAAACAGAATTTTATTAATAAACAAGGCTTAATGGCATGAAAATAGAGACTTAGAAAGTAATCTGAGTACTGATATTCAATTGTGATACTATAGATATTATTCTGTGATTTACTACATTATGAACATTATCTCCACAATTTAGCTTTAGTGGGAAAAAGCAGGCAAAAGGGAAAAACTCTTAACGTGTTATGAGCCTGCTAGTTCATGGCTAGGGTCTGTACCTGGTTCTTTCCCTTTAGGTGGTGCTGGGGACCAAACCTAGGGTCTTGGACATGCTAGACAAACACTCTACCACAGAGCCACACCCAGGCCAGAGCCTAAATACATTTGCTGAATTTCACAGTCTTTCTCTTTCATTGGGCCCTTCCAAATAGCCAAAGACATAGAGATACAAAATGGTTGTCTTGGTTAGAGATGAAGCCTATGCTCAGGATGTGGAGTAATGTGAATAGGTATTGCATAATTTTCAACTAATTAAAAAAAAAAAAAAAAAACAAAACCCAAAACAGGAAACAAGTATAACAGAACATCTCATCAGAAAAATGAAAAAACTCTCAGGTAAATCCCAGTGAATATTTAGATCTATGCTGATTTAAGAATTACTAAGCTGACTTATTGTGGTTCTTTTTTGTCGGTACATCTAACAGACTTCCTTCTTCCCAAAGAGGCGTTTAAAATAGTTTAAAATGTCCAAAGGGCATTTTATGGTGTTTCATGCCTGTAGTCTCACCACTTGGGCGGCTGACATGGGAAAACTACTGGGATTCAGGAGTTTAAAGGCAGCCTGGGCAGCACAGTTGAGACCTCATTTGAAAAATAAAAATAAATATTAAAAAAGGTCAAAAGCAATTACTTTCATTCTGAAGAGACCTAAGTACAACTTCTTCCTTATGTCCACTGACTATTTTTCCTGGTAGATTAGCCAAGATTCTGATAGGCAAAAAATGAAATTCTTTCATTCTATAATGAAATTCTAAACTATAACATATGATATTACCAAAAAGAGGCAAGGAAGGGTGGAAGAGTGGGAAGGAGAGAGGCCCCTCATTAATACTGCTTCTATAATAAAGCCCTTTAAAAGGCTGTTCTAAGGAGACTGGGCAAGAGATTTACATTGGCTAAATAGCAACATGATATAATCAGAAAGGTGCATGATGAAGTGCAGGAGCAAATTATCTGTGTCCTGTTGGTGTGGCTATGCAATGGAATGACCAGAGGGAGCAGCATGTTCTCACTGCACGCACACAAAAACACCCATATACACTGGGCGGCCGGGGGGAGGGGGGTAAGCGAGGGAGAGTGAATAGGACAGATAAGCTCCAAGCATTTGTGTGAGATGCTGAAAGTCAGAACTAGATGTAACAATATTAAAAAAAATGAAATGTGGTTCACAGTTTATTTAGGTCCTTCTGCCAGAAATAAATGCAATAAATTGTTTCCAAGGTCTTTGCTGGCTCACTGAGCTTTCCCAAATGTAGCTGTAACCTGTAACAGTCACTGGGAAACTACATTATTAGCACAAGTATCAACCACTGAGCTAACTCTCCATTAAGAAGACAAATACTTTTTGTAACCAGATCAATATTCAGAACATTGTACTTAAGCATTGACCTTTAGGGGTGAGTAACATTTAACTATGTAAAAACCAAATAAACCCTGATCTTTGCTGAACAGGAATACGGTAGCATACACAGTGCAGCCCTTGTATAGCTAACCACAAAATTTATGAGACTAAAAATTGGGTTTTCTGCCTCCATCCACTCAAACCACTACAGTTCAGGTACTCTCTTCTAAACCTAGACATTATGAACAGAAAATTGGTCCCGGTCACTTGGCACTGCCAATCAGCATTTTCTAAGGATAAGCCTCTAGTACAGAGCAAACAGAAGTCACCACACAAGCCAGACTCCTTGCTGCCAATTCATCCATAGCAGTCTTAACAAACATTCTAATTAGATCTTGGTCTTCTACACAGTCTCAGAAAATAATTCAGAAGTTAGTGTACTTTTTTAAATGTCTACTTTTTGCTTTTCTAATACCTGCTACCATGCTTTCTCTGATACTTCAGATAACCCTCTAGGGTTAGTTTTACATTTTAAAACTGAAGCACTGGATTGTGTGGCTGACCTGTCTTATAACCTGAACTATATTGGGCAATTTGTTCCTATAGAGACTGGGGGAGAAGAGAAATACTGAGGAAAATACTTTTGGTTTAGAGAATTTATAAAGTAGTTCTGGATATTAAAAGATGGGGGAAATGTTATTAAAATTACAAACATTTTTTAGTGTCTTTATAAATAAAAGGCATAGGATACAGAAAGCCAATTAATTACAACAATAACAATAATAAAATATTAAATATATAGTGAACAAAGACAGAGTGGCTCATTCTTGTGAAACACCATATAACACACTGCCTCAATAGGTTTCCCTACTCTTTAACATCTTGCTGAGTGAAAGATCCAGCAAACACACAGTAAGTTGCCTTTAGCTCACTAATAACATCAAGGAACTGCCTTGGTGGAATGGGTACAGATGAACAGGTCATTTGTTTCAAAAGGTACTTAAATACTCAATAAAGACATAACAAACCCCCCCCTCACTGTTATCAGACGCCACGTTGTGGTAGAACATCAGACAAACTCACAAATTTACCACAAAAATGTGTGGCAAAAAAGAATAGTTTATATATATGTATATATATAAATTTCTATATTTATGCCAATGTACTCACTCAGTACAAATAGCAAAATAGTATACCATTTCCTAAATACAAAATATAGCTTTCCAAAAAAATGAAACACACATTAGATATAAACCATCCAAAACTTGAACGATTGAAAACTGTATTCAAAATTAAATGACCCAGAGTAGGTCTCTTTCTGAAAAGTTCCCTTCATATCGGCAAGAAGCCTGTACTACTGAAAACGTAATTCAATGCCTCTCAGAGAGAGAAATAAAGAGAGGGCTGGGGTAGAGGAAAGAATGAGAATAAAGAGAGAGAGAAAACAAGAAACAAGAACAACACATCCAAAGACCAAAGGAAGACATCACAGAAAGGGGAACACCTGGCTATAGAAACAAAACCAACACCAGGACTCCACACAGCCCAACAAGATGGATAGGATGGGGGAAGTGAAAAGAGGATGAAACGACAACATGCAGCCTTCAACAGCCATCAACAGGCTAACGTTCACACATTTAGCAAGTGAACGGAATGGACAGGGTACCAAAATATCTCAACACACAGAAGCCACACGTTGGCCTTACACTGCATTGACAGCCTTCCACATGCCAAGAGGAAAAGGAGACAGAAGCATGTGTCCAGACACAGGTGGTAGTTAGAAGCAGGCATCCCATGGGTGGCAGGAACACCCAAAACTATCACTAATGCTACAAGTGCAAGTTCTGGAGTGTGTTATTTTGCTCTTTGTAAATGTAACACAAGTTAATTCTTCCTTTTAAATCAATGACATGACCCTGTAAAGCCTAAGGCTTGTGGGAACCATCAAGTAAGTGACCACTTCAACTGTAAAGCACTGAGGTGACAAGTGAATTATAGTCACTGCAGCTCAGGGAGAAGTATGGTTTTGTTTGTTTGCCTTGTTTGTAAAATGAATATTTATACTGTTTTCTATTAGAGGGAAAAATTTGAAGACCTCAGAACAGCACCGTTCATTGCGGGGGTGGGGAGGGGAAGAGAAAAGCACTGCTTTTTTCTCAGGAATCAACTCCCAGCAATTCCTAAGAGTACTCCTGGCCCTGTGCTGCTGAATAGGTCACCCTGGATCAAAGTGGCCACCTTCTCTTAAGCTGCTACAGGGTCATAAAGACAGTAGTATATTAATAGTTGTCTAAAAGTGAAAAAAAATATGGAAAATAATACAGATAAGCAGAAAAAGTAATACCACCAGTCTAATGCTGGGCAAGAAGAAAACAGACTCAAATTACTTTGTCAGTTTAAACTACTGTAGGAGGGCATGAGAACTTAGTTTGCCATCTGTTACCCACTTCATTTTTTCATATAGCAAACTATTTTTATGCACAGTTATGGCTAAACCCCTTAGTAGAAACAGAGAACTAACAACTCCCTAAAACATAAAGTTGCTAACATTCCAGCTGTCCCCAGTTTTGAAGTACGTCATCTGCCTTTGTGTTTTTGAAGAGTCCTCTTATCTGGTGGAGGTCTCAATACAGCTTATTTGTCAGAAAGCAACCCCTTCAGTTTCTCCACACAAACTGAAAAACATTCCTTCACTTTGGCCAATGGCCACACTTTACACACTGACAAAATCACAGTCTTAGTTATTACCAAACTTTGTCATAAGCTATTATTTGAGTAAAAATAATGCAGGAAAGAAAACAGGGAGAACATAAGTAAACATGACAAATATTATTTTCTAATAGCAGTAACAACTGAGAAGTCCAGTCTTGAATTTAACCTGTACTTTTAAAGAAATTGCTCCTAGGAAAATAGCTGGAAAATCAAACAGATTCTCAGTCATCACTGTTATAAGAAATTTTAAAAAGCCATGATGTTAACATTGGTGGTTAATCACTGCAACAGGCAGTGTGGCTGTACTCTTTTACAGTCAAGAGTAAAATCTATCCATTTCCTCAGATGTAGTTTTTCAGATTTTGTTTTGCTTTTATAGTAACAGTTCAGTAATCTTCATGGAACCATAACACCTCAGGACATCACGGAATTTTGATTATTTTCTTCATAGAATTTCTGAAACAAAAAAAATCAGAATAACTCACTTGGGAAGGAAAGCATTTATAAAGTGTTTGTCACCATGAATAATCCCAAAATATATTGTTCTATGGATGAAACTTTATCTTATTTAGTTGTGTGTATGTGGGGGAGGGGAACTGAAGTTACAGTTTCAAGCATGCTAGGCAAATGCCCAACTGACATATATTCCCAGCCCATATTTATTCTTTATAGAATTAAAAAAATTTGCTGGGCATGGTGGCACACACCTTTAATCCCAGCACTTGGGAGGCAGAGGCAGGCAGATCTCTTTGAGTTCAAGGCCATCCTGGTCTACGAGTTCCAGGACAGCTGAGGCTACAGGGAGACCCTGTCTCAAAAAGACAAAAAAAAAAAGAATTAAAAAAAAATTTTAATTTTATGTGCCTGAGTGTACTGCCTGCAGGTACATAAATATACCTGTGTCATGTAATGCCTGAGGAGGACAGAAGAGGACGTTGGATCCACTGAAACTGGAGTTAAGGAGAGTTGTTAGCTGCCATGTGGGTGCTCCAATTTGAACCCGGGTCTTCTGCAACAACAGCCAGTTCTCTTAATCACTGAGCCATCTCTACAAGCCCCTCTTTATAGAATTTTGTCTCTCTTTCTCTCCTCCATTGCAGACTGAATCTAGGGCCTTGTGTATGCTAGCCAAGTACTCTACCACTGAACTATATGCTTAGCTCTTTATTTTTGAAGGTTTATTTATTTACTTATTTATGTATGTATGTGTGAGTGAATACCACACATATGTGGCTGGAGCTGAGCCATTCATCTGTCCCCTCCCCAGCCCTTAAAAACATTTTTTTCGGGGGCGGGGGGTGCTGGAGAGATGGCTCAGCGGTTAAGAACACTGGCTGTTCTTGCAGAAGACCCAAGTTCAAATCTCAGAACCCACATGGCAGCTAACAACTGTCCGTAACTCCAGTTCCAGGGATCTGACAGCCTCTTCTGTCCTCAGCGGGCATTGCACGACATGGGTGCACTGACCTACGTGCAGGCCATACAAACATACACACAAAATAAAAATAATAAAATATTTAAAAAATTGGAGGAGGGGCACAACTGCCTAGGTTACCCTCTAATTCACTCTGTAGCCCAAGCAAACCTTGAACTTGATGGTCCTCTACTTCAGCCTTCCAAGTAGGCTAGGATTATAGGCCTGATGGGCTCTTTTTTTTTTTAGTCTTTTTGAGACAGTGTCTCCCTATAGACCCAGATGGCCTGGAACTTGTTATATAGTCCAGGCTGGCTTTGAACTCACAGAGCTCTGCTTGTCTCTGCCTCCCAAGTGCTGGGATTAAAGGTATGTGCCATCACACCCAGCTAATATTTCTTTTTTTTTTTGAGACAGAGTATTATTGTGTAGCCCTGGCTTGCATGAGATGCACTATGTGGATCAGGCTGGCTTTAAACTCACAGAGTTCCACTGCCTCTGCCTCCTGAGTGCTGGGATTAAAGGTATGTGCCATCCCACCCAGCTAATATTTCTTTTTTTTTTGAGACAGGGGATTATTGTGTAGCCCTGGCTTGCATGAGATGCACTATGTGGATCAGGCTGGCTTTAAACTCACAGAGTTCCACTGCCTCTGCCTCCTGAGTGCTGGGATTAAAGGCGTGCACTACCATGCCTAGCCCTGGCTAGTATTTCTTAAAAGAAAAGAAAAGAGAAACAAGACATGAATACACCCAATATATTATATGAGGGAAATGCAATTTGTATCCATCAGATGTTCTGTCATCCTAAAGCAAAGAAGGTTGGAGACAAAAGGAATGACCAACACTAGTACTATCATTGAGGATAAAAAAGTACCATCTGTGAAAGTCAGATTTATAAACAATAGAGTCTAAGTGGTGCTATTATTTGACCCAAACCTGTTAAGAATTATAATTTATTAACACGTTTCACTAAGAAGCCAAAAATGTAATACTTACACATCTAGTTAAAAGGAGCCACTCAAATTGTTCCCTGGGTTTTGCAATGAAACAAGCAAATCAATTTTTTCAATGTTCTGGTTGGTGTTCATAGAGGATGCCAGTGGAGAAGTCTCTGGCATTTGCTGAGAAAGAAGTGTTGTCACAGATGACTGACCCTCATTTTGTGGTTGGCCTGGCTGACTTATGGCCATCAGCTGATCTGGCAATGTAGCTGGTCCGGAGGTTAAAAGCTGACTACAGTCTGCAGAGACAACAAGATCAGAAACTACCTGATTATAGTTACAACTCGTGAAAAAATATTTATTAGTTGCCAGGGGAAATTCATTACTGTTTACCCAGCAGAAAGGCACTGGAATTTATCTTGGGTTCCTCTAAGGTCCATAAACATACTATTTAGGCATTGTCCAAGTTTTGTATAATTTTTTAAAAACTTTTTATTTAATTTATTTACTTTTAATGTATATGGTATAGTGCCTGCAGGTATGCAAGTGCACTCATGTTGTACAATGCCCTTGGGAGCCAGAAGAGGGTGTTGAATCCCCTGGAATTGGAAGGGAAGGTTGTTAGCTGCCATGTAGGTGCTGGGAATTGAACCTGGGTCCTTTGCAAGAGCAGTCAGTGCTCTTAACTGTTGAGCCATCTCTCCAGCCCCCTTATGTAATTTTTCTTTTCTTTTTTTTCCCTTTTTGAGACAGTGTCTCCCCGTAGCCCCAGCTAACTTGGAATTGGCTATGTAGACCAGGCTGGCCTTGATCTCAGAGATCTGCCTGCCTCTGCCACCCAAGTGCTGGGATTAAAGGCATGCCCCAC